TGCATGATGCCTTAAATAGCTGCAATTTGCATTTCCGGCAAAAAGTTTTCAAGCAAACACCGCCAAGCTAGGAATAGCTTTTGGAAGGGCCAGGCCAAATGTAGGAACGTATAGGCTGCTTCGAGATGTTTTATGATGCTTTTAAGTTAAAGAAAATTATTCCAAAACCGAATTATTCTGGGGTATCTTGACGGGGGGGATCATGATTTTCAAGGTTCCGACATGCATCATTGTATACCTGTATACCTACCCCTTGAAGAAATTATTCCTTGAAAATTGTTCCAAAAAAATATTCCATAACCTAGTTGATACCCTGGAAAAAAAATAAGGCATGGGTCATGTCAAACCCCCACGCAGCAGACAACTCACACCACGCCCCGACATGCACAAACTGACGAGAGGGTTGCGCGCACACATGCTAAAAAAACACCAAAATATTGCTGGCGCTTTCGGCCCTTCAAAACGCCGTCCGAGTTCACCAAATACCGCGCCTGCGATGGAAAATTTCCTCCGAAGCCACCTCTCAAATCCAGCCACGCCTGCCAACGCGCTGGAAATGCCACGCCTGCCACACGGATGCAAAAGTGTCCGGTGTCCTGCGCCTGTCACGTCAAGCGACGTTCCAGACCTCAAAATGTCCCGAAAACACAACTCCAGCGACGGAAATGGACATAGCCCAAAAATCGAGCGCAGCGCGCCGGTAAAAGTAGCTTGGCACCAGCACTGGCAGCCAAAAACTGCCAACCATGTTGGGAAACGCATGCCTACAATGGTGACCGCAGCTAGCAATGGTGTTTCCTACGGGCATCACATGGAGATAAAGATATTGATGGCAACGCCAATCGCCAATGTTCCTGCACCTTCTGGTGCTGCTAGAAAAAAGCTTATGATGTCTGCAGCAGGGTGCTATTTAAAGGATTATCCGAACAAAACACCAAGCCCTCTGCAGCCGAGCTGCCTTCGTTGAGCCTTGCGCGGTTCTGGCAACTGGCATCCCCTGCTCCTCTTTTGTCCTTTTGGTCGAAACCCTGAAGCATCCGAAGCCCTCAGCGCCAAGCAGCAAGCCCCAGGACTTTTGAACCCCCAAACATAGATCTTTTCTGAGCCCTCATTTTCTTTAGCCAAAAACCCTGCAAGTTGGGATGAAGTGCCAAGCCGCAGGCATCTGTATCTTGCGGGGCAGCGGTGGCGGATAATGAACATTTTGGCAAGCGCGGGGAAAAACCTAGACGAACCGACATGATACGGCAAGTTAAAAAAGGAAAACCAGAGTAGCCGGAACAACGCGGGCAGCTGCAAGCAACGCGCGCGCACTTGCTAGAGAAAATCTTTGGCACGCAGCTTTGCAAACTGAAAAGCTCTGAGAGCATGTGCGTTATTTGGGCAGCCAGCAAATCTGCAATACCTATTATACGTGGGCAGCAAAACCAGGCTCCACATGTTCGATTCAGCAGCATGGTTGAAACCCTTGGGGACTTTAGGCCCCACAAGAAGACACAGGAAACAACCACATGCGTCTCAGCTTCATCTTCAGCTGTCTTTCAGGTGTTGGCCAAACAGGAGACCTGAGCGCGCCACAGCGGCTGAACGCAAAATTCAAAATGGCGATATTTGGTTGTCCGAATTTGGCTGGGCAGCATGTGCGGGGGGGTTGCGCCAATGAAATTTCAAAGGCGCTGAGCAACACCATGATGGCGCGACAGAACCGTCAATCACCTAAACAAAACCTGACCGGTTCGAAGCAGGGGTTGCAATTCGATTGTGAATGCCAAATCTCGCTCCAGGAATTCCACCTTGTGCGCGCATCACATCAATTTATATAACTGCTATAGTGAAACACCTAAAATCTAAAATTGGGACCAAGTTCGCAATTTAAATGTTGTGGAAACGGAGAGGTCGTTGCAATAAGCTGATTGCTCGCAATAAGCATCGCTTTGAAGGGCGGTTGTTTCAAGGGACCCGCGCTGGATGCGGCTCATACATGATCATACATGCTCATGCTACGTGTAATTTTGCCATGCCCGCATGGGTTTAAGGCCCTATGCTGCTGTATATGGTTGAAGCACCCCGGCTAGCATTCCAAATCTTCCAGGGCCATTGTTAAATTTGGTGGGCCTTCCGATCTTCCTCTTGATGATGTCATGAAATGTCATGAAAGCGTTCAGGTTCATGTTGAAACTAAATGCACTGTATCAACTTGAATTTGCTACGGCCACCTGCTGATGCGCGGCCGGATGACACATACTCCCGTCGTTCATGAGGTATTAGCGTCCGCAATCTGAGCACATCTGCCTTGAAAATCGCGGCGACTTCCTGCAGCTGCAGGTGCCAGTTTCGCTGCAAGTTTCATTGGCTGGCTTTTGTAGAAGATTGCAAGAAACTGCCCCGCACTCCGGCACACCAAACTGCGGGACTATGACTTCTAGGTTCAGGATGAATGGGGGGCTCAAAATGTTTGGCACACCTGGCATGCTCTCTGACGTATATCTTATGTAACCTTTTGCCTGGCGCTTTATCTTGCAATCTACTAGCCATTTTATTAGGCATTCTTTGTGGCATTTGATCTGGCATTCTATCCGCATTTCTGTCTGACATTCTTCCTGGCAAGGTATCGACAATCCTAGTTGTCAAACTATGTGGGAATCTGTCGGAAGTATACTTTGACAGCCCATCTGAATTTTATTCGGGTCCTAGCTGGCATTTTATCTGGCCTCATCTTCGGGGCCGGCGGGGCCCAGCCGGCGTTGGGTCCGGCAGGGCCCGGAGAGCTGGCAAGCTCGTGTGCTGCTGAGGGAAGGGCGGGATGTCGTGTTAAAGCATAGAGAATCTCAACTGGCAGATGAGGAATAACAAAGTTGGATGACCCTCCGGCCTGGGCTTTCAACCTTTGCAGCTGCAAGTCCTGTGAAAGCAAGTGCTCGATGCTCATTGGGGAGACCAAAAAGCACGGCCGTGTACAACTTTTCAGCGTCATGCGCATGCTCTAGCAACCAAAGCATGTATTGTATAGCGTGAAGCGGCACTGAAACTGTCGCGGCCACCAACAGCGTGCTAGCTAGCCGGCAGCTTGATGGAGCACTCGTGGGCCATTATATTTGCATCTCATGTACTTAAATTGCGACAACCGACGGCTGTAAGCCTGCTAAGAACCCTTTCTCGACTATCTTGTATTCAGGCCAACCCCTTTCTTGAATTGGTCGAAATACGGTGTGCCAGTTGTCCTGCAGGCTTGCCGAGTCTGCCAACTCCGGAATCAAGCGAGGGCCTTTGTAGTCCTCAAGAAACGGTTCATCTCCCCGCAAGTCATTGATGGTATTTCTAGCTCCCCATTTCCAATAAACAAATTTGATGATCAATTTATTGCTGCGGCTAAGCTATGTCTGCATGTGCCTGCTGCAGGAAAGCTTGCAGAAGGTAATAAACGCTTGTGGCCTTGCCTCTCTGCCAGGGTGTAGTTCGCCCTCTGTCACCGCAGCCGTGGCTTTTGAGGCAGCGCCCACCACACAGGCGGCCAGCAAGGATATCGCAGTGCTTGGCGATGCCCATGAAACTGGTGCCTGATTGGCCCACGCCCAACTATGGGACGTGGACGAGCCAGGAATGAAACGAGCTGCAACTGTCCGCCTGACACCGCCATAAATGAGCAGTAAACTTTCCTTTTGCTCATCTGTCACCGTCAGCCGCCAGAAGGCCACGTAGAATTACTTGCTCGTCAAGAGCCATGACCTTTTCCAATCCCTCATCAATGCGCCTTGCAGATCATGATGGCAATTCGTGCCCACCTGATCAAACTGTTGCGGTGGCAAAAGCGTTCACGGCTTTCAAACCCGTTCAACGCCGGCCTTGCACCAGTTGCGCGAGAATCTGGAAAGATCTGAAGCGTGCCCTTCCCAGCAACAAACATGCATTGACACGGCTCAGAAAAAAATGGTGAGCGCGCTAATTACTTATCAGAATCGGCTACATCTCAAAGTGTCATATGAAACAGATACTGTCTAGCGCTCCCGCAGCTTTCTTTTTCCACAGCTATGCCTATGCTCAGTCAATTTCACCTGCAATCCTCAGGTTTGCTTTGGGTTGTCACTGTGTGACATGTACATAGCCCCAGACCAGTTTCGCCACTGGTCAGCTGCCTGGCAACCCAGGCTGGAACCTGCTCTGCAGGAATCACCCATCCCTTAAACCTAAGGGAGGGTAAACCTCTCTTGGTCGCCCCAAGAGAGGATCCCCGATAGAGGCTATGGAGGCTCTTAGGGTTGGGAGGGTGGGGAAAGAAACAGCAATGAATGCTATTTTGGTTCAAGTTAACTTGAGCCAAAATGATAGCATTCATTGAAGCACTTAAAGATGATACATGCACACCCAAGCCTGCCAAACTCAATGCATGGGTACATCTCAAAGTGTCATATGAAACAGATACTGTCTAGCGCTCCCGCAGCTGTCTTTTTCCACAGCTATGCCTATGCTCAGTCAATTTCACCTGCAATCCTCAGGTTTGCTTTGGGTTGTCACTGTGTGACACGTACATAGCCCCAGACCAGTTTCGCCACTGGTCAGCTGCCTGGCAACCCAGGCTGGAACCTGCTCTGCAGGAATCACCCAATGCACTATACTCCCAAAGCACTAAAGGTATTCGAAGGTGAGAATGACAGCAACAAAAGGCAGCTGGAAAAAGATTGTAGGGAGGTACGACGAATGAAAGTCAAAACCATGGCATCGCCACCATGGATCGTCGACGCCAAGTCAAGTCGGCTGATGTCGTCAGCCCAGTTGCTCTTGCTCTGGACGTACTCCCAATATCCTTGGGCTGGCAGTGCAAACAGAGCTAGATGGATCAAATGACCTAGCTTCGCTAAGTCGGCATTGCTAGAACGTCCTCTCACTAGTGTCATGACGGCTGCCACATTGTCCAAACACCAGAGGCCGTGTCGGTTTCGAAACAAGTCAGGCCTTTCGACTAGGGCGTAGAGCACCATTGATAGTTCCAATTGGGCGATGTGTGTCTCTGCAGGTTGCCAAAGTGCTTGAAGCTCTGCACAATTGGTGGCGACAAAACTGTGACGAATTTGTGATCCGTCTGGCTGGAAAAAGATCAGGTGAAAACCTCCTGAACCAGGATTGTCTGCTTCAACAGCTGCATCGGAGGCTGCAAGGAAACGCAGATGATCCAGGTGCAGAACGGGAAATTCCCGCTTTGGCTGAAAGCGCATGACTGCTTCGATCACCTCGAAGCATGCTTCAATCTCCGGGGTTATGGTTGAGGTGGGCTCATCTTGTCTGGCTTTAATCGCCATAAGACCACCATATCCCACTCGACCGTAAATGCCCTGTTCCAGGAAATTGGCCAGTCCGTACAACTTCGATGCTGCCCCTGGACTGAAATGGCCAGTCACCCTGGCAGTGGCTAACAGATCACGTACCTTGTCATGGAGACGTTCCCGAGCCCAAAAGCGCACATGTCCTGTTTGGTTGATGCAGCTAAAATCGTGGGTCAGCCCCAAGAAGGTTCCTGTGCTCTGCATTGATTGCTTCTTGTCCTCGGCGAAGGGGGAGCCGATCAAGGAGCACAATTGATTCATGGCCCATTGGCCAGATCCTTTTGAAGAACGCAGGTCTGTGATGGTTGCGTCATCGAAGTAGAGGGATGTCAGAACTCGGCAAAAGCGCCTGGCTAGCGCCTCCAACAGCCTGGAAAATCTGTTGAAGGAGGCAACTGCTAACGGCAGCCCGAAGAGCAGCCCAGCATATACTTGGTATGCAGGGGTTTGCCATTCGTGATGGTACCACACCACCACGCATCCCAGGCTTTCTTGCAACGCCATAGGGCAATACCTGTATGCGGAAGGCAGGTCTTCTTGTCCTGTTTCCCAGGCATCGCGTGCAAAGAAGTCTGATATCTCTTCCTCTGTCCAACGATGCATCGCCAAACGAATGTGCTGTGCAGGGCGCAAGGGGCTGCACAATGTAAGCTTGTTGGCATCTGATGATAAGGCTGATTGTCCTCCAGTGTCACCATTGTCGATCACTCGCTGCTTGCCGGAGCTTTGCGTGATCACGCAACGTGGGATCAATCTATGTGCCTTGTTGCCGATGAACCTCAGGAAATCTGGCCGCCGCAAGGGTGCTGTGCAGAAGCCATTCGTTGCATCCTCCAACGATTGCTGCAGGAGGAACTCATCATCCTTGCCTGCTCGCAGCTGGTTCAAGATGTGCTGGTTGTGTTCTTGCCATCCATCCAACACATCGGACATGCTGATCACCTCAGCCGGTTGTTGGGGGAAGACTCCATATGGTGGTGCGTACCCCACTGCTGGTAAACCACGGATCAAGCCATAGGGAAAACTGGTGTCGGCCCATGACGTCAGCAGCATCAGCAGCGCGATGAACCCCACATCGCGATGCCGTGTGACTTGCTGTATGGCCGGCTCTTGAAAAGACCGCAAATGGAGGGTCACCCCCTCCCAACGTCTCTTCAGCTCGCGCATGGCCCCTACTGCCTGTTGTCGCCACGGGCGCATTGGTTGGCCATGTGCTGCATAGGCATCAGCTACGAACTCCAGATCCAAGTCAACTACTGGGAGATCTTCGTAGGGCAATGGTTGCTGGGCTCGTTGTAAGGCTTGGTTGAAGTGATCATCGGGGTCCAAGTTGAATGGCAGCAGCGGTGGCAAGGCTGCTCGGTGTGTCATCGCACCAACTTGGCACCCATCCCCAATCCGTGCGAGCTGTCTCACTGACCCAGCAGCAAGGTGTGGGACAAGGGGGCCGTCCCAAGCTTCTCCTCGCTCTGCTAGCCAAGCAGCATATGAGCAGAAAGGTGGGCTGTTGATGAGGTCTTCAACCATCGCGAACTTGTAGCTCTTGAACCACTGCTCGGGGAAAAGCTTCTGGAAGGCTAACACCAGTGCTCTCATCATGGGTAAGGCTACACCTTTGGGAATAGCCTGGATCCCCTGCAGCAAAGCCACGGTCCGGCTCCATCTGCCATCTGTACCCCTCTGCATCGGGTCGCCCCCAGGTGCAGTGGCGTCGAAGAAGAGTCCGATGAGCATATCGGCTTCGCACAAGTGCTCCATGGGGCAGTCACATGCCAGCACCATGCCACTGAGCTCGTGCAAGGCCTCCCACAAAGGTGATGCCCGGATGTGGACAATGTACCTGGCTGGCCATTCCCCTGCTTCGCAATTATGGCCTGGTGTCCATGGAGATTTCCACTTGGTTGTCGACAGGCGATGATGGAAGCTGCCCCGGCCGACGTAGATGGTCTTGCGCGGCAGTCTGTTGTTCTCGATCATGACATCCTTGACGAGCTTCCTGACCGGTAACCCTGGCCGTTCGGCTCGCAGGGATTCTGTCAGACCCAGCGTCACTGCCAATGGTGCCATTGCCCATTCCCGCATTGCGCGCGGGTCCATATCCAGCCAGTGCTCACGACGTCCCACTGACAAGAAAGTGGGCATGCGGGGGACATGCAATATGGCTGAACCTGTGCGGACTGCTGTGTACTCCGCCTCTTCTTTGGATGGATAGAACCTTTGGCCGCCAGATGTGTAGGGGGTCCATTCCTGCGGGTCATGCACATGGTGGCAATTGGCCGGGGGCCAGCGCTGGATCTCCCCCACATTGTGTCGTAACACTTGATGTTTGCAGCGCGCCCCGCCTAAGGTGCACGCCGCATAGGCTGTGTCGAACCATTGTCCCGATTCCCACGTGGTCACTTCGGTGGACGTCCACCAGTGCAAGGAGCGGGCAGGGTTTTCACGCACACTGCCTCCCCCCGGGCCCGCAACTTCTGAATTTCTCCCAAGACGTAGTTGCAGGCTTTGTTGTCCATGTCAACTCTTTGGGCATCCCGACTATTGAGGTGGGGCAAGCCATCGGGATATACCTCCGATCGAAGAGGGCCAGGGGCTGGCCGCCCATCTTCGAACTTCCTGGGAATCTCCCTTGCCCGGCTCTTTGTAGAGCAATCGATGGCTGCCGCTATGAAGATCACCTCTTCAAGCTGTTTGCTCAAGGAGTGTTGCCTGCGCTCATCAGATAGGTCGTGGCTGTCATCCAACAACCAGTCCACTGTCAGGCATCGCCATCCACAACTGATGAATGCTTTGGTGAGGGGGGCATTGGGACCTGCCATGAGATCTGCCATAAGAGGTCGCCCCTCTTGCGGCTCTAGCTCATCTGACCCAAAAGAGGCAGCCGCCTCCTCCTCTGGGGTGTGTCAACGCTTGCCGGTGCAGTTCGCCGCACCATGGTTGAAGGCTCCGCACACCCGGTCTTTCCTGACAACTGCTCCGCATCGATGGGCCCCTTCAGGACAGGGCTTGGCCTTGCAGCCTCCTCGTTGAAATTGTGGACAAAGCTTGGTGCCATCCTTCATGGCCGTCGCCACAGGCTTGCCGTTGATCGGTTTTCCCAACTTCAATGGTGATGAACTTGGTGGCACTTTGGATGGACTTGCAGTGGAAGCTGCAGTGGGGGCTGCACTCTTCTTGTCCGGGGTAGCTGGCCCTGGTACAGACCAATGTGCGTCCCTGGATGTGTAGACCTCACTGATCACTTGGCCTAAGCTCATTGTGGATTCACGGAATTTGGACGCCCATTCACTACGTTCCTCCACATCTTTGGCCTGGAGCCACTGCATGCGCTGTGATGTGGGCAATCCTGCCACACTGCGCTTGGCTCGAAAGCAGTACTTGTAGACGACATCCATGGGAACGTTGACGAACTTGACTGTGTCTGCTCCCAAGTTGAGCTCTTGCGCTGCGTCTGGTGCTCCGGTCGCCCCAGAGCGCCCTGCCATGGCATAAGCTAACATCAGGGTAAACAGTCGGTCCAGATAGTTGTCAACATCATGGGTCACCACCTCCTCATCGTCGCCGTCTT